ATATACAATGTCTGGAATGACATTTTCAGTTTCAGATTTTTAGCCAACCGAATATAAACTAAATGCGTATGTATGAGAGATTTTATGTAGAAAAACCAAAGAAAATCAAATAAAAAGACAACGCAGAAAAAGAAGAGATCAGTTCTATCATCCCGAATTCGTACATAATGAATGTGAAATCAGTCTCAAAAACCTAGCCGTGCTGCAAATGTTCGCACAACCTGAATCATGATGACGAAGCTTCTAAATGGGATAATAAGATGAGAACGAAGACACTTGTATACTTGAAGTGGCTCCGCAAAATTTGCTTTCGATTTTCTGGTGACGCATTTCGTACACACACAAACACACACACACACACACAACCGATATAAGTGAGATAATTTTTAAATGAAAATTAAGGCAGACAAAATGAATGCCAGAATAATATTATGATCATCATTGATTTAATAGAATAAGCTGCTATCGTCAACTTTGAAGTGTGTCTGCGACACATTTACATCGACTATGTCGCAGTGGATATACCTCTATATACATACCTAATCTCCCTCTCTTGGTCCCAAGCGCTCCCAATGTATGTGTGTATGTATCTGTGTGCATCTGTGTGCTTTGTGCTCATGGTGGGGGGGATGAGAATTGCCGTTTCGAATCCACTTTTTGTCATCGTTCCCTTTCAGCGACAAATGCGATAAAGTTTCTGGTTGAAAGAAAAGCACGTTGCATTGTTTATTGTGGGTAGAATTGTGTACTTTTCTCTCCATTTTCCAATTTGAATCTTCCGTTTCTCGTTCCATTGCGTCTTTAAATTGGAGGATTCATCTATCATGTTGGCATTCATCAACTGTTATTGTTGCCACTTATTTTATTTTTGTTACTTTTGCTATCAATTTAAATTGTTTCTCTTCATATTTTTCGTTTTATTTTTGAGTGCAAACTCTTTAAACGTTAACATTTTTTTTCATTTATTCTTTATCATATGTGAATTAAAACGTTTATAGTATTCAATACTTAGTATTACGTTTTATAGTTATTCATTTCGAATAAACTGTGATTAACTGGAATGAGTGTAAAAAAAATCGAACAGAGAACTCGGTAATAATATGTAATCTGTATGAATTTGTGGTCATTAGCCATTTTTTGTGTATGCGTACAAGTATTTGTGTGTATGCATGAGCCCTTCAGTGTTCTTTTTGTTCGAATTATTGAGTTTATATTCTCGGAGGCACTCTGACTAGAGCCAAATGGTTCATTTTATTGGATACATCAGATGATTAAGTTGGAATAAGTCATTTTATACACAATGTCGGCAGCATGCAAACACTCATTCATTCGATTTAGTCTCCAGCATCAACACACACGCACACACACATTGACAAGCACATTTTTATTCAATACATTCATGCACATTCGTGATGCTTGTGAGTGTCGAAACTCCGCCTCCGAAATTCAAGTAACTCCACCTATACTTTTCTCTGACCGGATTATTGTTGTTGTTGGCTGTATGTATGTAAGTGTGTGTATGTGTGTGTGTGTGCCTGTTGTTGCCGTTGTTATTATAGCTGTTGGCTTTGACTCAATTTTTGTTTTTGCTTTTGTCCTTTTCCAATTTCAGGCACCATTACTCACATTCAAGCACTCGTTTTCAATTGCGTTGATATACTTTATATACTGTTAAACGACCTGCTGTACTCTTCTTCAAGCATTCAAAATATACAAACATCTCATCCACATGCACACATACAGCCAACCGAAATGGATAAACTAAGTGGAAAAAAAAATCCGAGGAAAATAAATCGTTATATTATATACTTATTATAGAGCATAAATCAATCTACGGCAAATTGAATGACTGTTATACACTTTGGATATCTAATTTGGTAAATTCTATTATGTCATTACGTGCTTCATGTACGCATTACGAGTTTTCTTTTCGAATTGTATGGTTTTTTTTTGCTCTCTCCTCTCGTCGCTTGTTATTTTTACGGGGCTAAATCGTTCTTGTTCTCACATGGCTTGTATGATGCTGATGATGATGATGTTGGCATTGCTCGTCGCAGTTGTCGTTATTGTTATTCTGGGTGTTTGCTATTTATATTTGTATGTTTATAGGCTATTATTGTTATGTAACAAGAAAGAAAATTTATTAAGCATTTTTTTCTTTATTACATTATCTGTTCGCATTTTTTTAAAAGCTTGACGTGGGTTCCATCTTTGTCGGTGAAGATGCCTGTGTGTGTGTGTTTTAAGCGGTGTTTCTTCAGCTTTTTTCTCTCTTTCTTTTCATTATTTAAGCGAACAACAAAGTTTAGGTACTAAGATAAAGTTGCGAAGTAAGATGAAAATGTGTTGCCTCACCAATTTTCTCCCATTTTTCTCTCATTTTCCATTTATGTTTCCTCTTATTCAATAATAAACACAATTGTTGATGGAAAATTTGCTGTATGAGCGAAACCATGTTTGTAAATGCTTGCGCGGCACTCACTAACTCACTCTTTTTCTCCCGCTTTTTACTGCTCTGCACAAAGAGACAACCAAAGCACATTATATATCTACATTCCATTGATTTTGTGTTCACAATCTCATCGTTAATGTGTTAAATAAACGCTTGCCGTTATGTATTGAAGAAGTTAGAACGATACCATTGCCTAAATCAAACACATCCTTAACCATGCGTCCATTCTTCTCTTATATATTCGATTAAGTGATTATTTTTGTAGTTGGTTGCATTCAACCGAACGGAAACAAAAATCAAAACTGCTCACACTTTTACCGACATTTTAAAATGCAAAAAAAAAATAAATATTAAATTAACAAAATTTTAATGGATTTTTTTTTAATTTGCTGCAAATACTCTTCTTTTTCTTAGCTTTTTGTTGTTTAGTTGATGGTAAGCATAGTTTTTCTTTTAAATCCGGAAGAAAGTTCACTCAATAATGCAGTGATTGCATTTCGCTGAATTAATTTCCGTAATAATTATAAATTAATTTCACATTTATGCTAGCCACGTTTTGTGTGCGCAGCGCGTGCTTGCTTCAGCTCACACATACACACAAATTTGCCGACGTAATTAATCGTAACGGCCATTTGTTTTTGTTGTTTTAAAGTGTAAAACTTTTCATTTGAAGGATTGACAATTGTGTATTCATGAAATCAAGCGTAAATTCAATTATTCGTAATAGAAATGGCATTTAACGTTGATTGATTGTCCTTCATTTGGGATGCGGAATATTTTTTTAAATCTTTTTTCTTTTGCGCACGTACAGATCTCTCCATTCAAAATTTTGTGGTGTTATCGGCGACCGCTTATCGGACAAATTAGTAATCAAGTTGAAACATTGACTTTTTTTATCTCACCAAAACTCTTGAATGGATAGTTTGGGTAAACAGTGGTCACGTCATGATTTTCGATTGCAATTGTGTCCGGCTCAATTGTATTATAGCTCAAATGAAATGAATTTCATTATCCAATTGTCCTGTGTTTGCACCCTGTCTCCCCTCCCCGTCTGTGTGTGTTGTTTCAACAATAAAATATCGAATTGAAAAAGTTACGGACTGTGAAATTTTAAATGAAAGAGACAACAAACAACCAACGACAGAAATAAAAAAAAAAATGGAAATCGTTTTCCACAATATAATAATAGTACATAACAATAATAGAAATATTTACGCCACTGAAACCAAATATTGTTGTTGATGATTTTAATTTTTTTTTTTTTGTTCAAACCATTTCGTCTGGTGCCAAGCACTTGGCATTTGAATCAGCATCAATACAAATTCGCAAATTGGCACATTCACATGTGATGATTTTGTGGGTGTTATTTTTATTGAAATACAAACAAAAGGGATTGCATGACAGTGTATATGCAATTCGTAACGCTTAAATCACAGGGTGAATGGAAAATATGAGTGCGATTTCTTGTACTCATATTTGTAATTTCAACGAATCTAAATTGAATCTTCATCCATATTGTTTTTCAATTTTCATTGTGTTATGAAACTATCACGTCGAAATCGACAGTCTCAACACAGTAAAAAATGTTCACCTTGTAAAAATCCAATCTCAATTCGAAATAATCATTGCATTAATGTGCTGATCATCCAGTTTAAAACAATTTAACCCACTCGAAACGTACAAGTGAGTTACACGTGCGCACACTCATACATCGTTTGTGTGTGTATCATCGTTTTACCTTCAAATATTGGTTTTTCCATCTTTCGTGAGTGTCGCTTCTTTTGCCGATGAGAGCAAATTTCCGTTTCGTTGTATTTGTACGAAAAGATTCTGGCCACCGTTGTACATAAACTTCATGTGACTGGAGTATTTAGGCTACACTCTGCCATTGTGCTTGTACATACACAACCAAATGTGACCATGTGCTTGTTAATATATGTGTCGATGTGTTTGTGCGTGTTTCGAAGAGGGAAAATGTCTCAATAGCATAGCACAAAACGAAATGACACCGCCTACCGTACCTTTTATATCATACGAGTGGAAAATATGCCGTTTTTTTTCGTACAGGACTCAGACGCTAGTTTATCCAAAGTACAAACAGTTTGTTTTGGACATTAATCGTGTGTCGAGGTTTTTATGCGGAGCACCGATAAACAATAACTTTTTCACCGATTGCATCGTCTTTTCGCGTACACATTTGTTTTTCTGTTTCATTTTGGCGCGACAAATCGAACAATTTATGTTATTTTTTTTCTCGATAAATTCAAAGTTACATATCATGTGTATACTTTTAAGATAAACCAAATTATTTATTGACTATTTTGATTGAACCTGTTACAATTTGGTGATTTAAAATACATATTTTGTACAATAAAAAGAAATCAATCGATTAGAAATAAAGTGTGAATACATTATATTATTAATAAATGGGTGACAATCAATTGTGAGTTTAAAAATTAAGTGCAAATTACCAGAAAATTGAATGGATTTATTCTTAGATCAAAATACAAATTAAATGACACCGTTTTTTAGTACTTTTGATAGAATTATTGCTTTCATACAAAATATCAATGAAAATATGTTAAAAAATTGATCTGTTTAGCAAATAGATATCCAAAAAAATAAGCGCAAAAATACAATTCAATTTAGGAGAAAAAGCGAAAGACAGTGTAAAAAAAAAACTATCCAAATCGAACGTATCATAAAAAAGAAGAAGATTTTTCGTATTCTGTAAAATGGACATTAAATCTATGCCTGCATCAGAACATCAAGAACGTGAACGGCAAACGATTAATATTTTAGAGAAATTAATTAAGCATAATAGTGAATACGGTGCTGATTCAGATCTATCAAACAGTACCGGTGAATCGCAACATTTGGAAAAAAGTCTACGTAATGTTAAAAACTTTCAAAAAATAATGGAAAAGTTTAAAATTGACGGCAACGTTGAAAATCTAATACAAGAAACCTATAAAGACGGTTAGTGTGTGCTTTTGCATTGTTTTCTCTTTCCTCTACTGTAAAATGAGTGGCAGGAAAATTGCGCGTGCACAATAATTATAATCATTAAAACTGTGTTTTGTTCTATTTGTTTCAATCTATTTCAGATGAAATCTGTCTCGGTGACACCTCACGAAAATTCGGATCAATTACACCAAGGCACACAATTGACGCAATTCTTGGATTGAAAAACTGTGAAAAACTATTGGATGGTAAAGAAAAAATAAAATGTCTTACATCCGTAAGATGAACTTTTCCGCACTGTGATCCACAACATGCATTTATTACAAATCTTTAACTTAAAGAATTCACGAGAAAACTGAATCTGACATTAGTTTTACGATAAAAATAATTTTTGAAGCACTTTTCATACAAAAACTAATAAAAATGGGAATTTTTGTATCGTGGCCATGCCTATATGATATCGTAATCATGTGAAAATTTGCAGAGGTTATTTTTTTCACAAAAAGTTAACATTCTGAAAGTTTGAAGAAATTTCAGTGCATATTAAGGGTACTTCCCATACAAAATTTCGTTTTTGCGCGAAAAATCCAAAATTTTGTTCGGGAGGTACCCCTAATATGCATTGAAATGTCTTCAAACTTTTGGAATGGCATTTTTGTAAGATAAAAATAACCTGTGCAAAGTTTCAGCTTATTACGATATCATACAGGCGTGGCTTCCATACATAATTTCAATTTTTTTGAAATTTTTGTATGAAAAGTGTGTCGGAAGTTATTTGTATCGCAAAATTAACGTCATATTCGGTTTTCTCGTACCCAAAAACCCCCCAATACATATTTTTGACTGTTTAAGTATACATTAAATATCACTTTTGGAAGAAAAATTGAATTTTTCCCATGGATGACCATGGGCATCACACCAGACATGACACGTCACTCTATCAACCAAAGTCGCTCAAAATCTAATGGTTTCTATTCCTCGGCACCCCCAATCATCCTGTGAAGTCAGATTTTGAATTACTTTTCTTGTTTGAAAGTTATCGTGTTAACAAATTTTTGCGTACAGGGTACAGCGTACAGGGTACAGGGTACAGGGTACAGGGTACAGGGTACAGGGTACAGGGTACAGGGTACGCACATACATTCGGACATCGAAAAAACGCTAGATTCGTGTTCCCTGGCCCCAAAAACACCCAGAAAACACATTTTTTATGGGTGTTAATTTTTCGACCGATTCCAATACTTTACCTTACACACTAGGTGTGTGCGGAAAAGTAAAAG